GAAAGGTATTTTCCTCCCCTGAGATGATGTGTATGGTCACATGTCCTGGTTACAAGTCCTAGTCACATGTGCCAGAGTTCCAGGATGTAAATGGAGAACTAGCAATCTGCCCTTAGTTAACACGGCCACTGCCAGAAGACTGGGGAAGAAAAGAGAAATAAGGTATGCAAAGAATACAAAGCCTGCAACTATCTAGAAGTATGTGTTTGTAGATTGTCATTACTAAACATTTCTAAAGGTGTATTTGTTATTTTAAAGATATGGGTAAATTCCTTTTGTAAGATGGAGGAGTTATTTTAACTCAAGTATTAATTTCCTAATAATTTTAATCTAATAACAGAACAAACACAAATGATAGAATGTTGGTGCATGCAAATGAGCATTTTACTGCTGAAAGCCTTATTTTATCATGCACCATTACTTTTCCTCATGAAGTGTTATTTTATCACCACCTCATGTGCATGGTTATGGAAAGCAAACCCTTAGATTTTGGCGCTGCAATTTGGCTGTGAAGTTTTCTTTAAAAAGTTTTGGCCATCATGGATTTTGGACACAAGAAAATTGTAATAGGGGTTATACTGTAAGAGCTGAAAAATATTCTCTTGTTATCGTTGAATTACACTAAATAGAAGTTTAGGTTAGGATTAGGCTAAGGATCAACTGGAGTTAGGTTTGAGGAATTGCTAAACAGTTAAGAGATTAGGGTTAGGTGTACAGTCAGGATTAAGTGTTTGGGTCAGGAAAACAGATTAAAGGGCATGTGAAGCCGAAATAAACATTTACAGAGTACATCCCTTCACAATGCATACTTCACAATGTTCTATCCCTTTTACTACCCCGTACAGAAAAGTACAGAAAGGACCTGCCAGCCCTTCCCACGTTGGTTTTCGGATTGAGTGGTGTCAACCGTGCCCAGTTTTCTTTTGTTAAGTTTAAGATTTAAATCCCGAATTTACTATTACTTTAATAAAACGTGCATTAACATGCATTCGGTACCACACCCCAACACAGCACGGGCATTTGCAGGGGCTCTGACTAATCCTAACCAAAACCTATCCCTTAACATGGCCACAACTGTAATCCTCGGGTTAAAGTAACACTGACAATGATAAATACTGTTTTCACAGGTAATACTTTTATACTGAAAATGTCCTGCAATTAAACTTTTGGTGCCTATTCACTGATGCTCCAAATTCCGTCCACGATACAAAAAAAGACATTGGTAAGTTGAATGCCCACTTAATAAACACAGGTTGGAATGTGTATCATAGTGCAATGAGCTAAGTGCTAACTGCATAGTGCTGTAACCCAGTCAAGACCCAATTTGCTTAAAGAGTAACTCCAATTTTGTTAAGAAAACATTATTGTACACTGCAAGGATTTTAACAAATTTTTTTGCAGATTCCTACCCGTTTCTGATCTGAAGAAATTGCAGTTGGTTTCAGCATGTCCTTTTCAAATGGATAACTGAATAGGAATGGTCTGGTTTGTTATACTCATTGGACTTTCAGTGTTCCAATGAAGAAAGCTGCAGTGTCTGCATTCCTTTAGAAGTAGTTACCCCTTAGGGAATATCCCACCAAAAATATGATTCCTATTGCAAGGGATGTCTAAAGTTTTACTTGAATCTTAGTGCAGACTTCTGGGAAAATCAGTCAGCCAACCACAGAAGCAGGAAATTACATTTCTGGAGGCGTTCCCTACAACAACTGTGTGTAGAGTGCCTCCAGGTAATCCTATTGCATTACATTTTTTTGACAGTTTTAGAAAAGTGCAGCGGCTGCAGTTTTAAACGCAAATGTCATTTTTAATAGCATTAAATTGCAAAATGGCTTGTTCAGCAATTATATATATGCTATATTCATGTTTTATATTTTTAAATGTGGAGTTTCCCATTAGTTCAAACAAGTATAAAACGGATTCTAATTGTGCTTCAGTTTTGACTGGGATGGACATGGAAGCGCCCGTAAGGAGTGCAACATTGGAGGGGTTTGTTTTGGCTGGTAAGTCTGCTTTAATGTGCTAATATGCTGTGCATACTAGAACATTATGGTTAAAGTTCAGGGGGGCTTTCTTTTTTACTTCAATTCCTCGCAGGGTCACATGATTTGAAACATACATATTAGGCCACATGACCCACAACAGCTCAGCACGGATGGCCATGATGTCAGTATTTTTATCAATCCCTTTCACTGAAGTCTGTTGTGCCATCACCACCAAGGCCTCCAGTCACGTGTCCCAAAACCGTTGTGGTATGGGGCCTGCAGTTTCCCGATGACAGGCAGGTGTTTACACTACAACTTCCCCTACTTTCATGGCTCAGTATATTTAGAGCTTCCTAAATGACATTGCAGAACTCTTGTCATGTGACATGGCCAACACTACAAATTTAGCAGCAACCAGAGCAAAAAATCATGAATGTTACAACAAATGACAATGGATAGAGGGACCATTAAAGTAGATGTCAAAGTTCTGTTCCTGGCATAAGTTTAGTTTAACAAGTCCTGAGGTATCACCAAAAGTCTAACAATAGCTTGAAACGTTTAATAGTGTTTTATAAAGAAATTAAACAGGAATGAATTCAAACAATACAAGGTGGCAGAGCTACCACACTATAATACATATTGTTAACTGAGGCTGTAAAAGGAGATTTAAAGGGGCTGACTCATTAATCTTCTGGCCGGCCACATGATGGATGAATGCCATTTGCAAGGCATTCCCACCACTAGATGAAGCCAAGGTGCATGGGAATTCCCTTTGCTCCTCAGCTCCATCTAGTGGTGTCAATGCCATGTGAAGGGCATTTGCCCATGGTATGGCTGGGTCCGTGATTTATAAATCGGCCCTAAAGTGTATGTCTATTTTGGAATAGATTGGGAAGTATAATAACCAGACAGGTTTTTACTGCTATCCGGGGCTCCATTAGAGACATTTCCTGTCCTGCTGATGTTTTACCAGACAGGAACATCTAGGACAAAGACACAAAAATCTGACAAGGGTTCTAACCTTCCCCTACTCCAGTAAAGAAAGACAATTTCCCTCACTTCCTGTCTGATAAGCCATTGTAAAAAGGACAGGAATAAAGGGGAAATCTCGGGATAGCACTAAAAATCCTACAGAGGTCCAAATCTTTCCACACTCAATACAAAACAACCAAAAAAACTAGACACTTTAAGTCAGCTACATCTTAAGCTTCTATTTGCATTATGATCTACAGCAGGGGTGGGCAAACTCCAGCTGTGGTGAAACTACAAATTTTATGTATCTGTGCCTGGGAATCATGTCTTTAACTGTCAGTCCCAAATGCCACATGGGATTTGTAGTTCAAGAACTGCAGGAAGGCTGGAGTTTGCCCACCTCTGATCTCTAGCCTTGGAACTATTCTTGGCAGCTACTGTCCAGGTCTTCCCTGCAGTACCTCTTCTGACTGGAAGCATGAGATGCTCCGAGTCTAAAAGGCTGATTTACAAATGGCCAATTATGATCATTCACACTTTTAGGTACTCCAGACTGACTAATCTACGGCCAACCTGTTCTCGCTATAAAGCAAGGGGTGCCTACACACCCCATGGCTTACTCCATCCAATGTACACAGAGCAGAACAGCATTGCAAGCTGGTCATCCGCAGAACACAGCAAGTTCTGATGAGAGGTCTGCTATCTGCATTTTCATGTGGCAGGAATTTGATTCCCACTTAGATCAGGTTTGGGTGCACACTGTTGGGTTAAATCACTTGCTGACTTTTTATATCTCTCAAAGATTCCAATACTGTCATTTTACTACAACAGCCAATTCAGATACCTCTCCCATCAAAACCGCCAAATTCCCCCACTCTAGTCTTTCACTTTAATGAGGTCAAAGACTTACAGGCACCCTTGCTAATGTAAAACTCAGTGCAGTCCTTCACAGGTCCTCTTTATGAAGAGCTCAAATACCTAGTTTTATTGAATACGTTGACATGGAATATATGTTTGCTGCTGGGCACTGTATGTGTATGCTGGAGGTTATTGTATTAAGAATCTTGCTCTTGAATTTTGTAATGACAACCATCAACAACGTAGCAGCCTGTCATGTATGTGTGCTCTATCTTCCTAATCTGAGCAGCATTTGGCATTGCAACATTAACAGCAGGCAAAAGGAAAAGGGAATGTGGAGTCAATTAAGCCAAAAAAGTCCACTGGTAATATAACAAAAAAAAAAAAACAACCCATCTAATTCAACTTGCCAGAGATCAATGTCACAGTATTAGTTTTGTGTGGAAAGGACCTTTAAGAGATTTGTATACCTGTTAACATTGATTTTATTATTTTCCTGGTCAGTTGCTTTGGTATATACAATGTCTGGCAAGTAGATTAGGGGATATTCCTGTATATTATATTATTATTATACAGGATTTATATAGCGTCAACGATTTGCTCAGCGCTTTACAAAATAGTTTATATACTGTATAGCCTATTCCTGCATGTACGGAGTAGATGACATTAATCGATCATTATTGCATTAAATAGATGCTCTAAAAAGAAGTTTGGACTGGACAAAGAACAACAACGATTTCAAAAGATGAAATCTCATTAAAAAATACTTTCCACATTAGCATAACTTAAAATACTGTAAGGTATGTGAATTCATATAAAACAAGAGTAAAACGATAATAGCCAATTAGGTTCCTTCCAAATCTCCATCAAACTGCAATTAGGAAGAGAGTTGGACCTTAAACGACTCTGGGGAGGTTTATTTAGAGTTGGGGCAGCATCATTTCAATGCATTTATTATTTTTGTTTTCTTGCACATTTTTTTTGCTTATGCACATCTCTTGTAACTGTGTGGACATGTGAGCTATTAACAAAAGCTCATAACTAACACTTACTCAGAGGTTTTTTGCCTACACAATTGCTGCTATGTAGGCCATTAACCTGAAATTCACATACATTACTACAGCAACTTGTGAACTATGCACAGAATTATGCAAATTTTGCAAGAAAGTGCTCTGCACCACTCTTTGCAAACCTCTCCCTCTGCATTTCTGAGTATGAAGGAAGCAAGCATTATCATTTTAAAGTTAATGAGATTGAGTCTGTTAAATTCCCAGTAATATACTGGTTAAATCATCTATATACTGGTTTAGACCAAAAACTATTAGCTTGTTAGTAGGATAGCACTGGAAGCACTAGATCAGACCTGTAGGAGACACAGTGTGCCACTTGTAAATGGTGGCCAAGATGGGGATGGGAGAGGCACAGACGTGAAAGACTAACCAGTACCAGTTTAGAGAATTGATCTGTTACCATTTAGAAAGACTAGCATATCTACATGCTCAGCAGTCAAAGCTGACCGCTTTCTGTAAACTGTCAGGCCAGCATCTGTAAACAGCCAGCTTGTGGGTACAGACGTGGCAGGGATGGCCAAGAGTTTACGTGCTGCCCGAGCCAGAAGTGGGTACTGGGTATAATGCATTTTCCACCACTGCAATGGGTCCTGGCATAAGGAAGAGGCTTCACTAGTTTGGAAGCTGCTAATTTCTTGCTCCACCTGCTGGTTAACTGTGTTACCTGAAGAATTTCTTACACTACACAAGTCTCCCAAGAGGAACTCGATGCCGGAATCTTGCTTGGGTTTTTTCGCTGCTGGCCTTGTGTTCTGGGGTTCAGGTGTAACACAAGTAGTTTCAATTGGCTGTGTCTTTGCCAGACTTGACGCTTCGAGCTTCAATAAATGAAGTGCCTCTACACGGTCTGGTTGGCTGAGGAAGTCAAGGCCACGAAAACGAGGGTCCAAGGCACATGCCAAATTGAGAACCTGATTGACCTCACTGTCGGAATACTTAAAATTCAGTTCTTCATGTATGGCCTTTTTAATATTCTTGCAAAAGTCGGAGTCCCACTCGTTAGGTGCCAAGTGTTTATACAATAAGCTGGTTATCACAGGTTTGACCAGGGATAACCCAGCAAACTGATCTTTGGTAAATGTTGAGGTAGCAATAGCTAAAGGTTTAAGGATGTCAACGACATCTTGCAGAATGGACCAATCTTCTGACTCCAAAGCTATGCTGTCTTCATTCAGTGTTTCAATGAGACCTTTAAAAAACTTGGAATGGTCAACAATGCTCTGCAATAAGGTGTAAATGCTGTACCATTTAGTGCCGTCACGAAGAAACATTTTTAAATGCACCTTTAGTACGGGACCATGGGTGGTCAGTTCTTCATTCTGTGTGGTTGATGAGAAAACAGTGGCTATCAATCTTCTGAATCGATCCAGTGTTGTCTGTATTGTGTGGTGCTGAAGAATAGCTTCAATGCAGCCTCTGAGAACCTGTCCGACACATGGCAGAGACTTCCAACCTACCTTTGATGCTGCTGATTTTACAGACGGACTACTGAGCCCAACTGCATAGAGTGTGTTCTCCCGTATTCCCCATTCTTCTGCTACATCAAGAAGGACTGATTTCAAGCTATCTTCAGAAAGGTCTTCTGAAACAACCCTACTGGATAGCACCATGTTCTTAGATTCAAAGCCTTCATCAACATAATGGATAATGAGAGTGAGGTAGGACAGAGAGCCACTGTGCTTCCATAGGTCCAGGCTTACTGAACAATCTTGTAGATTCTTTACCAGCTCTCCCCCTTTTAGTTTGGCCTGGACATACATCTCCTGTAAAATAGTATGGGCCAGGAAAGAAGCTGCTGGTAATTTGTAATTGGGGTCCAGTGCTGAGAGCATTTGGGTAAAACCTTCCCCTTCAATTATTTCAACAGGCATCAGATCACGGACAATAAAATCTGCCACAGCTTTGGTTGTTCTCCCCACTGTAGGAGCTACCACAGCCCTAGAAGCCACTTCACGTGGTGGAACAACTTCAACACTTTTTTGTGGGTCAACTACTGCCCCCTGGGTTCCAACCAGTTCATTGTACTCTCGTCTATGTTTATAAATAAGATGCTGTCTCAAGTTAGTTGTATTGCCACTGTAGGAAAGTCTAACACCACAAATTTTGCAAATTATTTTAGTTTTATCAATTATCCGACCATAAGCGTCTCCTTGGAATCCAAAAAAAGTCCAGTACCGACTCTGAGCACGACCGAGACTAACAAGGTTCTGAGTTCCCTCAAGCAGCTGAAATCCAGAAGAGTGACCAATGTTGTTTACTGGATAGCTTTGTTTATGTGGCTGCATTATAGGGCTGGCAATATCACTGCAGTGGTATTGATTTTGACTTGATATGTGATCCAATGGTTTAAGCTGTAGGTCTTGGAACAACTTCATCAGCAGTTCCTTTTCCCCAAATTCATATTTAAAATGCTCACCTAGGAAACACAATGGAAGGACAGTCAACCCAAGGCATATAGTAGTGCAACTATTAATGTTACCCTGTCACATTAATACAAATCCTAAATCCACCCAGGGCCAGGCACCCTCCAATGACTTTAACTCTTGCCACTTCAATGTCTGCTGCACCCCCTAAAACATGGCTGAGGCCTATTGATTTGCGTGAGTCAGATGGCATGCCATGTTTCCTCATACTTAAAAGTACTGAAATTGTATTAATGACAGGGATAGGGGGTAAAGGTACGCACTACCACGCAGTGCCTAGCGCAGGGTAGGGGGAGTAGGTTTAAGAATTTATGAAAGCTACTGCAAATTAAATTCTATTCATTTCCAAAACCTAAAAATGTGTCATGCTTTGTAAGCTATTATCCTACTCAGATACTCGCTATTATACAGTACATACATACTGTGTGAAAAAAAATGTATTCCATTGTCAACCCCCCCTTTCCCATGACACAGCTAATAATGCCATTAAGACTATTAAGATACACTTCTTTTCATGGCATCACCCCTATTGGGAAAGTTTTCAAAAGGAGTATTAAGAGAAATGTGGGGACTGCCCCTGCTGACCTCCTTCTGATTTTGCTAGTTGCCTGACTTTCCTTTACTACTAAGTACTTCAGTCACTGACCCAGCACAAGGAAGCAGATCAGGAATATCAGAGTGAAGTCAGAATAAACGGTTCTGTGTACTTCTACTGAATACTGGAGCTATTAGATCAATATGACAGCTGGAAACCTGCATTTTCAGAAAGAGGATTCAGCTAAGGAAGCATATATGTCTCCCAGTAGAGGCTTCCTCTGAGCAACAAAGCATCACAGTATAGATAAAGTACTTTCAAGCAATAATAATGACTACCGTCTATAGGCATATTTTTTTTTGTGCATCCAAACTATTCACAATTCTACATAGATTCATTTGCCTGAAGCATGTGATCACAACACTACCTGGAAGTTCTAAGTCTCCCAACTTGGCTATTTTAAAAAAATCATCTTATTTTTATGAGTATCACAAACTCCTGATCTGTGTGCTGCCCAATTACCTTCTCCTCACTCCCCCAGTCACTGAAACATGAGACTGTCAAGAATTCCCTCCATGCAATTTAGTTAAAGAAACCGCTTGTGAGAACAACAGAAGGCTGCCATTTCGGCTTTCTCCTTCTGAAAATACTAGCAGCCCAGTAGTCAAGCAGATTTGGGCATTTTTCTCAAATTGTTAACTTGAAATAAGTATGCAAATATCGTTTAATTTACTGTATCTGCTTTCCAGGTTAGTAACTTGAAGCCCACCTCTAGGTAAATGATTTTTGGTGTATGATCCTCCAGCAGGTGTTGAACAACAAATAGCTCTGTCTTTTTCTTTCAACCACTATATGTCCTCATTCTTCTAGGGCTACGGACATCTTGTGAGTGCAAGGTGTCATGGATTCACCCCCATGAAGGGGCATCACCATGGTTGACCTACATTCACAGTGTGTTAATGCAGAGAGGAGCACATCATCACCACTTCCTGGATCACTTACAGCCACCCATTAGCAGAAAAAGAACCAAAAAAGAGGAGCCTGCGCATCATGTGAGAAGCCTGAAGACTAGAGCTCCCAGGAGAAGGAGGGTGGGGAAGCTAGGAACAGAGCTGGGAGCTGGGCTTTTAAAATATTAGAGTCACATGATTAGAATGACAGCCTGGCAAGTATCATTTTTAAGAGGTCTTCAAAAAGAGCCTCTATATTTCTCCTTTATCCCCAGCCTCTGTATTTCTGTAAACTCACAACTCCTTTATCCCTAGAAGAATAGAGACTTGCAGAAGTCACTTAGGCCATCCGCTATCTCCCCTCTGAAGGCACTCAAACTGTTAGCCCAGAGTGCCATTTTAGCTTGTGTGCAAAGGATACCTAGTTACCTTACCTAGTTTGAAGCCCAGCGTTCTGGCATACTCCTCGCCAATCCACACCATCAATTCTGTTCCCGATGTAATAGGCTGACAAGAACGATAGTATATTTTTCCTCGATACTGGAAGACCGTTAGATTGTGTTCTTCCTCTGTTGATGCACAAGCCACATACCTAAAAAAATAAACTGAATAACAGATTACCTGTGCCAAAAGGGAACACAATCACAGCCCCATAGGTCAATGCAATATACTGTATTGGTTGGAAAAGAGTGTAAAGCTTAAAGTTTGGGTGCGGGACAAGTTTAAAGTGGAAGTGAACTCAAAAAGTGAAGATTTGCTATACTATACGAAACATCTAGAAATGTTAATTGTGTCTAAGCAGTACCCTGAAAATGTACGTTTATTCTAGAACTGAAAAATTGCAGTGCACTTCCTGTTATGCGAGTGTGCCTAAGCACTCCTGTGCCAACAGCCTCATAGCTGTCAATCTCCAGTGTGAGAGCTAAAAGGTGCCCATACACCTGCCGATTATCGTACGATAATCATTGGTGTATGGCCAGCGTGCGACCTCTTCTACTGTAAGGTCGCACGACATTCGTCTTCCGAGCACGCTTGAAACCCTGCCTAAAATCTGCGATTTTCAGCGGGCTAATGGCGTGCTCCGGAGACGAGTGCCGCACGGGCCGGTGTGCGCAAGTGCACACTGCCCGCTCAGCACTGCAATCATCGGAAGCCCTCCCCTCCGCAGGGAGGGCTTGCGATGATCGCAAGTACATTCTGCCTGTCCAAGATGGGCAGATCGTACGAAATTTTAATTTCGTCGACTTTCGTTGTGCGATGGTTGTAAGGTGTATGGCCAGCTTAAGGCACTGCTGCCTCTGACAGGTTATCTCAAAAGATCTGGAGTAAAGGTGCCCATACACCTTACGACCATCGCAAGACCTTTGTCTTGCGATGGTCGTAAGCTCATTGAAAGCTTGTACGATCTGCCCATCTTGGACGGGATGACCGCAGTGAGGGGCTTCCGATCACTGCAAACGGGCAGTGTGCACGTGCACACACCGGCCCGTTCGGCAGTTGTCGAACAAGCAGGCCACTAATCCGCCGAGAATCGTACGATTCTCAGCGGGTTTTCAAGCCTGCTTGTTCGACGGAAGACGTGCGACCGTACAGAAGAAATGGTTGCACGCCTTCCATACACTGTACAATTCTCGTACGATCGCGGGATTTCCCGCGATTCTCGTATGAAAATCGTACAGTGTATGGGCACCTTAAGATGTGGCGATGTCACCATTGTGTTGCTCTATTGCTGGAGGCTCTGACATGAGGAAGCAAAATCCTGACCTCTACCAAGATGGCCACCTCCATACAGAGACAGAATGAGGCATGGCAAGTCAGTGATGGAGAAAGATCAGCTGCAGGGAGACCACAGGCCATACTGGTGACTAGTCCTTTGTCCTCTGCCTAAACGTTTATGTGCACAGCTTCTAAAGTTAAGTTCCTTTTTAAGTGTTCCAGGCTGACGACATGGGTGCCGACAGCGTATTTTATATTAGTTTTAGCCTTAAAAATCCCACTCAAATATAGGAAAAATAAAGATTACTGCTAAGAGGCAGTAATAGTTATATGTGCAATGAAATATGTAGCATAACGTTACCTCATCCAGCTGCTTTTGGAATCGTCACTGGCGTCAATATAAAAATAGGACCCGTTTTCCCGTACCTAAGTAATAAAAAGCACATGTTTGATATGCAGATTGTGGAACTAGTGATGGATAGACAGTATTCATTTAAAACATCACCATGGGTTTCC